AATTACTTCCAATGGAAATTAAACAAATGTTGGTCCAAAATGTGATTTCCCTATATAAACTATAGTAAAGTTTACCCCCTCCCCAGGGGGAAACGTGAGACCCCAGGGTCAAGAAATTCACAATTTTGGTAAAGCACCTTAAGACCCTTCTATCTATGAAGAGTATTTGATTCTACCATATCTGGGTTTTGAGAAGAAGATTTTTGAAATTTTCGTCAATTTGACCCTTTTTTGCCCCGCCCCTCAGGCCCCTGGGGGCTGGGGGCCAAACCGGCCACATTTTAGCTGACCTCTGGCCATGGAAGGTTTCTGCAAAATTTCATTGAAATTGGTTCAGGGGTTTTGGAGAAGGAGTTGAAAATGTAAATTGTTTATGGACACACGACGGACGACGGACGACGGACGCTGCCGGACAAAAGGCGATCGCAATAGGTCACTTGAGACTTTGTCTCAGGTGACCTAAAAATTCAAGATACCTACATGTACATTATAATATGCATACCTCTACCATTTATTAAATAGTTTGCTTGGTTCCATCAGTGTTCTGATAGATATAAGGGTTTGCTTGGTTCAGTGTACTGATAGATATAAGGGTGTGCTTGGTTCAGTGTACTGATAGATTATTTTTTCCACAATCTTCCCACTTTCAAAAGTAAATGTCCTCTATCGCAAACAAACAAAAGTAATTGAAAATAATTTATTGCAAAGACGTTGCTAAACCCTTTAGATTTACCATGTTAATTGGAAATAGACTGATCGATTAAAAACCAGTTAACAGTCAAGCTATAATCAGGTAATATCTTAATTTCCAGATCCCAATTTCTTTGCATGCTAAGCAACATTTAAATTAATTTTCCCTGAAACAACCGTTCTGAGGGAATTCTTTTAATTGCCAGGTCTATCTATAATTAAGGAGTGTATATTGTGTAAAGTGTATAAATACATGTATATGGCACATTGGGAGCACTGGGCAATGATATAAATTTTTATCTCCATCTATTCATGGAAGAATTAAATCAACAGCTGAAAGGTTAGGGGTTTGTAAGGGAGCTGCAGCGTTTCCGAGCAGTTCTGGTGTAACAGTTTGATGAAGCGTATACTTGGCTTGCCTATGTTAGGTAGCGGAGGCCTCGTATACTTGGCTTGCCTATGTTAGGTAGCGGAGGCCTCGTATACTTGGCTTGCCTATGTTAGGTAGCGGAGGCCTCGTATACTTGGCTTGCCTATGTTAGGT